ACCAGAAAATTTACGTAAATTTGGTCATTTTACACTAAATCCTTCGTTTACAGTAAATCAAGCCAAAGTGTAAAATTAGGTAAACAGCAGACTCAGGGTCGCGTATCCGGTCGGGTCGTAGCGATGTCACCTAAGCTTGCTGCCATGTGTTCAGCTGCTTCCGTGAAAGGCACATGGTCAAAGTCTGGCTCAATCATTTCCGCATCGCCCGAAACACGCCGAACCACGAGCAGCGGGCGCAGCCATTGAGGTGCATCCGCCAGGAGGTTGGTAGCGATGCGCACGACCGCAATGAGAGCAGAATGCTGCTGAGCGGTCCAACACACGTTCTGTTCTAACACGGCATCAATGCAGACAAGGGCACACCACAAGGAGAAAGTTTTGGATGAGCCTGCACAGCCAAGGACGCCCAGCGAGCTGCGTTTGGTGGCGCGCGCCGCCAAGATTGCAGTGATGTGCCCGATGAGGAGGCCGTCGCGGCTAGCCAACTGCCCAGCAATGTGACGGCAGAAGGACTCGCCCATAAGAGCAGCTAAGGTGTGGAACTCGGCCGGGATCAGAGCAGCAGGGATTCTCCAATCGCGCTGGAAGGCCTCCCGTGGATTGGCCCGTTCCGCCAAGGGGAGGAGGCCAGTAATCCGCTTGCGGAGGACCACGTACTGCGCCGGTGTCATATCCGGAGCAGACGGGAAGCGCGTTGTCGTCGCTGCAACCTCCACAGCCTGCAGAAAGGCGAGCACAAGATGGGTTTCGGCCGCAAAGTGACACTGTGGCCGTGGCGCAGGCTGTGTGTGTGGTCGAACAGGCATGCCGAGAGCCAGCGGCACCCGCGCCGCTGACATGTTCAGGACCTGCAAGACGTCAAGGGCACCACCCACCTTGACACACGACAGGCTCTGCAGGAGATATTCCCAATGGTGCACTCCACCGGCCATGGGCTCAGCTCCCAGGAAAGCGGGCCATTGACTCACTAGGAGATGGGCAGCTGTAGGATTAAGGCGATTGTGGCGTCGCTGTGCCGTGCGCACCGCTTGCGTTTTCCCGCTGACCCTTTCTGGAACCACGGACCTCACAAAGACAGCCAGGAGCTGTGTTTGGCGAAATCCAAGTCGAAGGAGGCAACCCTCAGATGACGGCCGATTGCCGCTTTGGCGGTGTGAGAACCAGCCAGTGTCGAGGTCCAACGACGGCGGGCTGGGACAAGACAAGCCAAGCACGTATGTGCCAAAGCTGAGGCGATCCTCCACTTGCAAGGGGTGACGTGAAAGTCCGTGTTGTGTCCTGGTGCGACATACGCCGGCTCTCCTGCCCATTATCCTCCAGCGCTGCGCCCTGGCTGTACACGTGGAAGTGCAAGAAGTCCACTACACGCTCGAGTGACAGTTCACCCAAGGCACGCTGCACTGGCGCAGGCAGAGGGAGACTGACAGGCCGGTCCCATCGTAGCACCTAAGACGTACCTCCCGGACGATCCAATCCCTAACGGCTCCCGTGCATTGCGTCAAAGAACCGGCCGTAGCCGACCGGAGCGCGTTCGCAAGGTGTGCCGGCCGGCAATCAAGGGCACCGAGATCCCGCAGCGTGGTCGGCGTTACCCGGTGTGGATAAAGGGCAGCCATAACCTGTCCAACTGCACCTTCCTCAAGGCCTGTGCTGCGGTAAAAGTGGAGAGATTGGAACACTGAGGGCCAAATAACGCATCAGGCACATATGACAACCAGTGCATGCCCCCCCCATCACGCACGCACGGGGCTGAGCAAATGGTCGCCCGGACTGCATCGGAAGGCTGCCACGGACAAAGAAAGTCCTCATAAGCATGTAGAAGGCGTAGCCGGCATGGAAGTCGCAACAGAGCACCGAAGAGCCAATCTGGCACGCCAACGGCTCCGAGCTCGACCCTAGCAGTCGGAAGGGCCTCCCGCTGCTGGGTATCGGCCGGGGGACGAGGCGGGGCAGACCCGAAGAAACAGCTGGGCCCCCATAATTTGTGAAGGAGCACTCCGGCCAGCGCCGCTGTGTAGCTACCGGCAGAAAATCCACGAAGAATCGGACACGCTGGTGGAACGCTCACCAGTGCAATGCAAAGGGCAGCTAGGCGTGCCGAATGAGGCTCCTGCAAGTGAGAACTGCGCCGTGACCGTTGAAGGTATGTGGCAATAGTCGCGGCTTCCGGGCTGGAGACGCCGTTCTTGACGCCTAGCATAGCATAAGCCAACACAATCACCGGCCGCGGCGAAAGTAAGATGCTGGTATACCGACCCGACGAACTGAGACGCGGATTCGCGGATTGGGGGTGACCTCCAACTTGCTGACAGACTCCGTGAGACACCCAGTCGGACCGTAGCATCGCTTGGAGCAGATGAGTTGCCAAGTGTCATTGCGAGGCGGCACCGAGAAGGTGCTAGCGCCAGAGCACTCGAAACTCACTTCGTGTGCAGAAGGGACACAAGTCCGGGGGAGCTCGTCGCCATCCGCATTGGCTAGGTCGAACCTGCTGACATGAGAACAAGTCCTCCCCCGCGGGTCCGGCGCCACAACACAAAATCCAGAAACACCCATCAACCCATGGGCTCTTAAGATTTGGCGCAAGGGATCATCGGCATAGGCGTTTTCATACTGGCATCAAACACCCTGTTCGTTGGAGTACCAATAAGATGCCTGCAAGACCGCGCCAAGGTATGCCCACGCAGTAACAACATCACCGCTGTACCGTGCCGGCCAGCAGCTCGACGGTGCGTCGTTCGAAGAAGGGTCGCAACCTTGGCAGGTGACAAAGTGGGCAAGCTTCGACAGTAGAAAGAGAACGACCTCAGCACCACTGCAAGTTGCCGGCACAACTGGCAAGCTTGAGTCGAGCCGGCATCTTCCTCAGATTCGCAAGCCTCTACGAAGTCTGCCAAGCATCGGGGTCACGCAAGCGATGTGGAAATAAGCTTACGTCAGTATGACGACAGCCGTGCGATGCGAGCACAAACACCTCTGGACTGGAACTGTCGGCGCAAATCGCCACAATGAGTCATCTGGCGCAGGAATAAGCGCGTCCGAGAAGGCTGGCACATCCCGTGCCTCCAAGCAAAGGTTCGGCCACTTCAAAAAGTGCCGTTGGAGCCGCGTCATGGTCCGACAGGATGATGTGCTTGCCGGAAAGCAAGGCCTGCATGATTCACAGTGCATGAACCTTGCCCCACCAAACAACCGCTCTATCCAGCCCAGATTCCTGCCGGAGTGGGCATTCTGACGGTCCGTCCACAGACAGCGGTTGATAATGTGCGGCAGGTATGGCGCGTGTGGCTGTATTTCTCAAAGAGGTGTCCGCAAAACAACCACAGGCAGTGGCATCGAATGAGAACAGCCAACCTTGAAACATGTAACATGCAGTGGCACAGGGTTTTTGCGCAGCTTGTTGCACCGAAGCCGCTCTTAGGGTTCAACTGCAGCTTGGCAAAAACATCGAGAGAACCTCGAAGATTGCCTTTTCGTGCCAAACCAGCCACAACAACTGAGACCGGGACCAAAGTTAAGAATCCTACAGTTGGACAAAGGGTTTCAATAAAAAGTATGCCAAACCAAACTCTGGGTTCGAAAGCTCTTTCCGGTTTTCGCGTCTGTGTGTGCCACAGTCGCCTATTGTGTAGCAGTTAGGCCGACGTAGAAGAATTCGCGACTCTCCAAAATGGAGCCGTTTGCCGGCTCCATTTTTGGAGTCAAGGTCCAAGTCTCCCAGAAAGTAGAATCTCGGTTCTCTATGTTCGATTCCGAGTTTGGGATCAAAGCTTGCAGAAGCACCCAGCAACTGCCACCGCTCTTTTTTCGCGTGGACGGGCTCATAGACAGTAGTTGCTGCACTCGGTTCCAGTAAGAAGAACAAGAAGCTACACGGAAAATCCTAACGGGTGAAACAGGCCGCAACTTGCAGACTTAGCCAGCAGGAATCGTTCGACCTTTCAGGGGTAGCTTCTCTTAGTTGTCATTTTCCCGGCGAGCATGGGCAAGTCTCAAACTCTTTTTTAGCCTTGGGTGGCTTAGAGCTAGTGGAAGGGGACTCCTCATTGGCAGTCTTAGCCTCCGCCTTTAACCTGGCTTTCACCGGGCATGAATCCGCCCAGTGATCTTCAGCACTGCAACAGAAGCATCGGTCCCGCATCTTTTCTTCATCCTGGTCGCAGTAAAACTGGCAGGACGACCCGTATGTGCAACCGTCGGCTGTTAGCCAGCTCCAGCAAGGCTTCAGGCCTGCACCCGGCGACTTGGGTCCCGCTGGAGAAGTCTTGGCCTTCGGAGTACTGGAGACGTCTGCTTCTTAGCATCATCTCCTCGGCTCCTCATCCTTCACAAGATTGTCATCTGTGGAGTGCATCAGGTGCTCCACCTCCGCCTGCATCTTCGACACAACTCCGACACAGCGTCGGAGGTCGTGGTAGTCAACTCCAAGCTTGCGGAAGGTGGCCAGCCGGAAGAGACTTGCTGAGTGCTTTTGCAGTACCTTTCCTGTCAGAACATCCAGACTCTCAACCAGAAGCGCAGTGTCAGGCTCTGCTGCATGCAGTTGCTTCAGACACATACGCTGTTGGGTCCACTGTCTCAGCAGCTTTGCAGCCTCACTCAGGTGCGTGAGGCAACAATGTCAACTCTCACAACATGCGGGGTCACACATCGCTGGAACTGCACCAAGTTTAGTTGATCAAACTCCTTCCAGATTGACTTTCAGGTATGGAGGCATTGCTGCCTGCTTCCGCATAAGAGGAGACAGCATGAAGGAAGGAGCTGCAACCAGAATTGAGGAACAAAGTCCAGAGGCTTCTTGACCAACGAACCATTAACCACCTTCCAGGTAGGATCAACTTCCATCACCCTTGTAAACCGGACAAGATTGGCAACAAGGCACGGGAGAAAGAGCGAAGTACTGGGGCCCAGCACTCGCAGAGTAACGAGTGTAACGCAAAGAGTCAGGCTAAGGAAGGGAAGGGAAAGGAAGGTGAGCCTGAACTTGATATGGTTAAATGGTTTCTGCCATCGACCCTCAAACTGCCTTGCTGGGACCGCAAATGATCAGGCAGAGGCTGCAACTCCGAGTCTGGGGGATGGCAACGCAGCCATCAATGCAGAAATCTTGAGTGTGCTGAGGTTCATCACCAAGGCCCTGCGGCTTAGTGCCGTAAGCAACCGGCTTGTTGGACAGCGGAGCTTCCGCTTCTCTCCGCCAGGCATCGCCTCAGGAGCTGCAGGAGTTCCGCCCAGTGAGCGTGTCTCTTGCTGTTGGCGAAGCTGTGATGCATGTGAACTTGGTCAGGGAGTCAGTGCAGCCAATCTTGCCAATGCACGCGTTGCCGCTTTTGGGCTGTGAGATCAACTGGACCGACCGGGGTATTCATGTGCGGCATCCAGGGCTCGGAATCCTTCCGGTGAGAGTTAAGGATGGCACTCCTGAGTTGCCAGAGTTTCTGGTGCTTCGCCTGATTGGCGAATACGAGCGCTTCCTCTTGCGCCGTGAGAACTCAAGGGCCGTGTTGCGAATCGATGGGGTCGTATGTGGCCCGCCAAGCAGGACCTTTAATCCTAAAGCCCTGGCGTCTTCCTCTGATGGCTTGAAGTTCAGGGGAAAGAGGGGATGATAGGTTTGGGTTTTCAGACCTCAGCCCTTCCGATCGTGCTTTGGTTGATCGGGACACTCTGTTATTCCTTCGGTCCCTGCTGTTGACCTTTGTGGCCTCGTGTGCCAAAGAGAAGTTCTTCAATTGCTTGGAAATGCCTGAGGCTTCTGCTGCGTGGGAATGGCCCGAGTATGAGAATGTTTCTGTGTGTCTGGGGGGATGGACCGCCAGCTTCGATCAGGGCACTCTTGCCATCCTCTAAGGCCACTGCAGTGGTTACCAGCAGCTTTCAGCTGTATGAGTCTCTTCATGAGTTGAAGCTCCCTCCACAGGTGATTAAAGCCCCGGCTTCCAACTTCTATGGTAAGGAGTGGGCTCATGGGCTTGTTAGCCGGGTTCTGCGTGCCTGGGATGACTACTGCTGTGTCAGCTTTGAGCGCCTGCAGGCTCACACCCGTGAGCAAGAAGGACTCCTTCTCAACTTGTGCCAGGAAGCCACTATGGCAGATGTCACCCGAGGTTTGGGAAAGACACCAGGCAGATCACTTGCCGTATCGCAATGACTGCCCGATTTGCATTCAAGGAGCTTCCCGCGACCGCTCCACTTCACGAAGCATCCGCATCTGTTTGAGCTCTCCAGTGATGTTGCGGGTCCGTATCACAAGCGCCGTGATTTTGGGGGAGCGTGCAGGTATTTTGTGATTTTCACAATAAGGGTGCCGGTAAAAAGTGATAAGAAGGAGTGGCGGAATAAGTCTTCTGAGATAGCGTTTCAAGAAAAGGTTGATGAGGCTAAGGCCCAGGACAAAGAGGATCCCCATGCAAGCTTGATCTACCAGCCGGTGCATGTTACCGGAGAACCCTTAAGGGGGGATGCTGAGCAGCCTTCTCGGGTTAAGGTGTACACAAAGCTTGGGGATGATTTCCTTGAAGAGCCAAGCTCGGCCGTTGGGGTTTCTTCCACGCCGGGTGAGGATGACTCAGCTCTTCCTGTGAGCTTTGAGGCTAAATCTTCGCACAAGCCTCCGCCGCTTCAGCCTGAGGGCAGTGACTCCGATGATGGTCAAGAGTTTGTGACTTTGGTGTGGGCAGAGCCGCTAAAGACCCGCCAGTCCTTCAATGTGCAGCTTGCGATCATGCGTGTCGTTGCTCGCCTCCGAGCGTTTGGCATTCCGTGCTTCCGTTTCCACAGTGACCGGGCACGGGAATACTTGAGTGATTCGCTTGAAAGGTTTCTGGCTGAGCAGGGCATTCACTCTACAAGGACGGCCCCTGAGGATCATCCCTCAAATGGCGTGGCCGAGGTCGCAATTCGTGAAGTCAAGCGGGCGGCCCGCAGAGCTCTTCCTTCGGCCCACGGCAGTGAGACACGCGGGGGAAGTCCTATGGCGCAAGGGCATAGTTCGGTTGGGCGGGGCAGCCAGGTCTCTGCTGGCTTACGGGACACCAGTCGAGGCTCGAAAAAGGCTTCGCCACAGGGACGTTTGGATGTCTCGCACTCGGTCTGGAGTCCTGATCGGCCCGGCTCCGCAGACTTTGTCTTCGTACCTTGTGCTGTTTGAGGATGACACGGTGTGCATTACTTCGGCGGTGTATCCTGTTGATTACCGGCCACGCCCTCCGTCTGAGCCTGCTGAGCCTCCTCTTCGGCCGAAGCCTTTGTCGGGCTCCAGCACAGGTGCGTTTTTGCCGACACCCCACTACCGTCACGGCTCTAAGGGTCCTTCTGTTCGGGTCACGTTGCAAGGCCCTTCTCTTCCTGCTGCGGGGGGGATGAGTGCCATAGCAGATTTTTCGGATTTTTGCGGTTCGGGCGAATTTTCCCGTCGGAGTTTTTCTGAGTCTGAGGATTCCTTGAAAGCTGGTTCGGATGGGCCGGTTGACTTCTTGTCAGATTCGTCTGACCATCCACAGACAGCTGGGATGCCGGAAGTTCCCCAGCAGGAGTTCTCGACCTTGCAAGGTGTCTATGAAGATCCAGCTGCTTCTGATGAGGTTTTTTCTTCTGAGGATAGAAGGGAATCCGGAGAGGACTCATGTTCAGAGAGCCCGGGGGAGATTGCAGAAACCCGTGCAGCGGATGACGCGCCGGGAATGCCGCCTACCAATTTGGGCGAGGGTTCCGGAAGCCCGGGGGAGCCTTGTGGGTTTAGGGATAGCCCCGCTTCAGACGACCCAGAGCTAAGGCCTAGGGTTCTAAGGTTTGTTGGGCCAAACCCACAGCGCATGCCCGATGCAAATCCTGCCCCTGGTGGCAGAGATGCGCAAGGCATCAACCGCCGCGTGCTTCAAGTTTCCTTTGCCTACATGTCTCCTGAGCAGTGGGCAGCGGTGTGTTATCTTGAAGAGGAGGAATTTGAACGTCAGATGTCGGGTTTTACCCGCTTCCTGGATCCTGGTGATCCTGTTGATGGGGATACCGAAATCCCCTTCCTCCTTCTTCGGGGTACCTTGAGAAATCACCGCTGGGATCGCTATCCCACCATGGAATATCAAGATGCCAATGGCCGCCGGGCCCCTCTGTTTGAGGTTCTTCAGCACCACGATGATGATGGCTGGTACGCCGATGATAGCGCGTTTGGGGATAGGCTAGTTGCCTTCACCATAAGGGACTTTCGGACCTTTGAGATTCGGTTTGTAATCTTGCGACTCGTTGAACAGGAGCCACCCAATCCTTTGGCTGTGCCTGGTCCCATTGACCCGCCTCATATTCGGGCATTCCGAGTGAAGGACGAGGCCTCCAGTGCCTCAGGGTCCTACAGCGCTTCGTCTAGCCAAGGCTATCCGCCACCAATGCTTGCTGAGACCTCGGGGGTCGCCGATCTTCCAGGCCAAGGCTACTCGCCACCCATGCCTGCTGAAGCTCCTGGGGCTCCAGACCCGTCTGGTTCGTTGTCCAGTTTCTCTTCGGGATCGCTGGATGTGTCAGCAACGGGCCCGGTGTCTTCTAGTTCCGGGAACACTTCCACTGTGGATACTCACTCCACCCTGCAATCAAGCATTGCTGAATGGACCATTGATCCTCCCAGCAATTCCCTCTGTCACGTGCTTCAGTCAGGTGCGCCGCTGAGCCCGTACATCATTCAGATTGGGCTGCAGGGCTGTGTGGAAGTTCTTGAGAATGATGATGATCTTGAAAAAACGTTGCATTATGCAATTCGGGGTTTCCAGTCGGAGCAACGAGGAAGCCGTATGCTTCCCAACGCCCTTGACCCTGAGGTTGGCTGGATTGTGGTTGCAGCTATGATAGCCCGTTGGTTAGAGGATAATCCTGAAAGTGCGAGTGGATATGATGTCCCGGAAAGGGTTAAAGCCATCGCCTTAGGAACCGCTACCTCCACGGTGCCTGATGAACCCGCCCCGTCGATGTATGATTTCTGGTTGAAAAAACTAGATCAAAATGAAAGAGCGGACGTGAATGTTCCAACTCCGCGATGGGTGAGGCGGTATGCTGTGCTGAGTGATCATGAAGCCCAACGGCTCCAGCGTGGTCGTCCTGTTGATGACCCAGCCAATGGCTGGAACGAGCTTGACCTTCAAAACTTTGGCTCGCTGGTTCACACCATGCACAATCCCGAGCATGCCTTTATGATAGGACTGTTTGCCCTTAGGGGTCGAAACTGGAATACCATGCCGGAGGTGCGTATGATTTGGGACCACCGCCACACCAACAATCCCTTGCCCTATGTGTTAGGGTATCAACCGGGTGGTTTGAATGAGCAAAACACTGAGTATGAAATTGATCTTCTTGGCATAGTAGAGAGGGAATGGGTCGTCGACTTTGAGGATGAACCCAACCGTCGTGCCTACCTCTACCGGGCCATCCGATATGGTCAGCCTCCGCAGTGGTTTCTGATCGAAAGCAACATGATTTGGCAGAATCGGTATATCTCTGCCGAAGAGGCCGGCCGTCTTCCCGTGCCGGATCCTCAAGGGCCTCCGCCTTTTGAGAACCGGAGGGACCGTTCTCCACGTCGTGACCCGGATGCGGGGCCTGCCTTTCGTGTTGCTCGGCTCTTCCCCAACTCCGGAGGATCCCCGTCGGCACAAGAAGTGTTCTCTCCGTGTGAGACCTTCTGCAAGCAGGTGCTTCTTGAAGGAAACCCAGTTTCCACGGGTCAGCTTGCGAATGCCATTCGACTGTACATTCAGGACAAGAAAGCGATCAATCGGATCGCCAAGCGACCCCTAGCTGGAAACCAGAAGGATGAGTCTTCTGGGGCAACGCTGCCTCCCTGGTTCTGGTCTTCCGGAGCAGGGGTTTTCAGTGCTAAGGTTGGAATAACCAATACGGTGCACGAGTGCCCGTGGCTCACTCGACTTCTTGCTGTGAGCCTCTTCCACCGCACTGGTCAGAAGCTTGCCTCTGTTGGCTTCGTGATCAACATCGAATCCGAGGTCCATCGTGACTCCCACAATTCTCTTGAGTCTATGAATGTGGTTTGGAATGTGGGGCAAGGCTCGGGCTCCCTTGAGGTCCGTGGCCATGAAATGCCTCTTCCTCCCAACGCCTGGCTCAGTTTCCCCCCGCGCGATCTTCACAAATCTGGTAGTTGGGAAGGGGATAAAATCTTGGTTTTGGGCTACACCCCTAGATCTCTTGAAGGGCTAACTTCTTCGGATTTGCTAAGCTTGAGATGGGTAAACATGCCAATCCAGGACCTTGAACCTCTGCAAGTATCCCCTGCCAGTGGAGAATCCTCTCCCGGGGACGGTTTGTCAAAGTTGCTTCCAGCTGAGTGTGATTCTGGGGATGAGGAAGCAGACTTGCCGACAGAGGAATCTTGGAGCCAGGTAGCTCAAGGATATGAGCAAATGCACCAAGCAGTGACTCATTTTCTTAAGTCACTGCAGCGATCTGTTGTGGGCGCTTCATCCGAAGGCCCAGTTGATCCCATCACCTTGCAGGCGATGCGCGAAGCGTCCTCCCTTCGCAATGAGCTGGGCTGGCATCTGGAACTTGCGCGCCTTTATGGCTGCGATGAACCTGTCAGTTCCTCCTCTTGGAGGGTGTGTGCCGCTGCCCCTGCAGCTGAACATCTTGAGTCCCAGCCCTTGCTGCATAGCCGCATTGTCTCGAATGAGGAAGTTCGTGAAAAACTGCATGAATGGCGTGATGCCATGAAAGCAGAATGTGATTCCTTGATTTCTAAGGGTGCGGTTGAGCTTGTGGCAGATAGTCAAGTTGAAAAATGGATTTTAGATGGTGAAGACGTAGAGATCCTCCCCGGCCAGGGTGTTGCCACTGAAAAGCCCCCAGTAACTCCCGGATCCACTAAAAGGAATAAGTATAGAGCTGTAATTTGCGGCAATTTTCAAAAGTGGTCCGAGGAAAGGGCGGCAGAGTCCTTCTATGCCGGAGGAGCGGATTCTCTTTCGATCCGCACTGCCTTGAGATGGGCGGGAATGAGAAAGCATGGCGGTTCAGGTACTGATGTCAAAGACTGCCTTTCTCAATGCTCGCCTTGATGAGCAGGAAGCAGAATATCTGATCTGCAATCCACCTAAGGTTTTGTACGCCGCTGGTGTTATCCCTCGGGGTTACAAATGGAGAGTCCATGGTGCTCTCTACGGACTCCAGACCTCGCCTCGTGCTTGGTCCCGGCTGCGGGATAAAACATGCAGAGTCTTGACTTGGACCGTCGACGGCGAAACTCGCCACTTGCAACAATGCGTTGCAGACCCCAACATTTGGCTTGTCAAGTCCCCTTGCGGCAAGACTGTTGCCTTGATGTGTTGGTATGTCGACGACCTCCTAGTGTTAGAACCGTGGTCAGAGCGATCTGCTCTTCTTGAAAAAATCAAGGCCACCTGGGAGTGCAGTGCGTTCACGCTTACCGAAGATGGCCCAGTTGAATATTGCGGCCTTGAGATTTCGGAGTCTGCTGATGGTCTCTTGACTGGGCAGACAAAGTTTGTCAAGGAACTCTTGGAGGCACAATGTGCAGGGGTGTGCCAAGTCCCCTAACTTCGATGATGGTGAAAGCCGCGATGATCCGGTCGACCCGGAAGCGGTTAAGGCTGCTCAAAGCCTCACTGGAGAGCTTCTGTGGCTCTCAGTCAGAGCGCGACCCGAGCTGTCCTTTCCTGTCAGCCGCATGGCACAGCTGACTACCAAGAGGCCAAATGACGCGTTAAGCATTGGGCAGGGGGTGTTACGCTTCTTGAACTTTTCACCGTCCAGTGCATTGTGTATGGCCCTCCTCCTGGAGACTGCGGGACCTCTCAACTATCCGAGGCCAGTCGTTGAGACTACCCTGCACGCCTTTGCAGATGCCTCCTTCGGGCCAAGTTCGGGGGCAGATCCCACTAGGGTCTGCTAGTGTGCTGGGCTGGAGCTCCGCTCCACTGGGAATCTGGCCGCCAGACGCTGACTGCTCTGTCAACCGCCGAGAGCGAGCTGATCAGCTATGTCTGTGTTGTGCAAGCTGCTGAAGCTGTTGAGGCTTTGATTGGGGAGATTTTTCTAGAGCCTCTTACTCGATCCCTCTTTGGAGATAACTCCTCAGCCATCAGCATTGTCAGCGGCCCCCCAACTTCCTGGAGATCCCGCCACTTAAGACTTAGGTCCCATGCCCTTCGTGAAAGGATTGAAAATGGAGTTTGGACGGTTTATCACTTGAGCGGCCTGCTGATGCCCGCCGACATCCTGACTAAAGCGATGACGGCCTCCAAGTTCGGCGACATGTTGCCGTTTCTCGGAGTTAAGACTCCGTCAGAAGATGGTCGGTTGCGGCTAGCCGCGGTGCTTGTGTGCTGCGCCCTCCTTTTGAAAGGGCAAGGGTGCTTGCGTGCTGCGCCCTCCTTTTGAAAGGGCAAGGCTCTCCAGAGCCTGAGGGTTGGGGTTGGGTTATAATGTACCTTGTGGTTGTGATCTAAGCCGAGGGTTTTAGATCCTTCCTTGGGAGGTTTCTAGGTTTAGCTGCGTCTGTGTTCCCAGGTCTCGGTGCTCGACTTCCCGAGGCTCTGGATGAGCATTCCTCGCCCAATTTTGGGACCACGCAGCCACCTTCCACCAGTGCCCACTCCTCCACGCAGCTGCCTGCTTCTGGTTCTCGACTTCCCAGGAGCTTCGTTCTCCTCCACCGGTGCTCGTCTTCCCGGTGGAGCTCCATCCTCTCCTCGACCAACTCCGAACCTCCGATCCATCGGAATACCAATCCTGAGGACTTCCTCCCGTTCTTCCAGATCGTCATCTGATTGACCTGGTGAGCCATCACACCTCAAGCGGCTCCCACTGGCATCAAAATCCTGAGTGCTACCATCTCCGAAATCGGAAGCACTCCTCACTGCTTCCGTGCAGTGACTGCGTGGTTGACCGTACTGTCTTTCCACGCAAACCTCCCCGCTGGACTTCGACACCGAAGGGGAAGGTGACTTCTGCACCTTGAGGCCACCTCGGCCTCCTAGGCTACCGTAGCCTCCGAGTACCAACTCGTTAAACTGCTTCGCTGCCTGTCGGCCTGGACTTTTGCAGCGGCCTGTAAGTGTCGCTTTTCTTCCTCATGGCTGGACTTAGCCTTCCTTCGGGGCTAGTCAGGCCCTCGTCTTCTTCCTTTTCCTTTCTCGCCGGGCCACCATCCGTCTTCTCCCCTTGTGGATTTTTGAGGCGGCCCCGTGGGTTTAAAAGGGGCATTTAAGATATTAGTCTTTAGACCTTCTCTTTGTTTGAATCTTTCGAAAGGCCTTGAGCTCTAAGACAATGGCTCCAAGACTCCTGAATGGATGGATCCCTCGAATGAGGTAGAAGTCCACAGGGTCTTAAAAGACCATTAGGCTTTGCGAAGCGCAAAGGGGGGGAGTGTTGGAGTGATTTCAGCATGAGCCTCTGCACAAGATGACACACACGTGCAAGCCTTTTTGCTCAGCGTATATAAAGTTGTTGCGTGCTTTCGGGGTGTTAGTCCAGGGTTGAGCCTAGAGTCCCAAGCGTAGGTTCCTCTAAAGGCCCTTCCCCGGTATCTCCTCGAAAAGAGTATAAAGAGTATCCACTTCCTTCTTCTTGATCTCTTATTGGTACCGACCTGGGTGCTCCTCCTTCGATTGCTCGTTCAATTCCACTATCCGGAGGTAGCCTTTTCATTGGCTTTCGGCCAACTAACACATATTGCGCGTAGTTCCAAGGCGTTCCTGTTGCCTCGGGAAGTATCTCAACGTCGAACGTTGGCGTACACTGACGCATTGTCCTGCACTTGATAATTCCTTTCCTTGTGCTCACCAGATTCAGGTTACTTACAGCATCTTTTCCAACAAAGATTCCTTTTCTCCATGGTTCACCTTTCTCCTTCACTTTTGGTAATGGCTTTGCCAAAACAACACTTCTCCAGGGCGCCAATGTACCTTTGTACTCTCGATCAAACAACACTTCAAATGGTGTCTTTCCTTTTCTTACAACAAACCTGTTCAACAAGAATGCTGCATGTCTTGCTGCCCATGGGTAAAGCGTGCTTTCCAATGTGATTTTCACCTTTGCTTTAGTTTCAACACCATACGCCAAAGTCTTCGGTAAGTTCTTACCGTTTGGACCCATCGTTCCACCTGCAATGCTTGGTGTTCATCAGGTGTCGCATCTTGTATCTCTGTCTCCAAGTTCTTCAGCTTTTCTGATTCCTTGCACTTCTCTCCACAAAGAAATCATTGATGGTTCTGTGTCTGTCCTTAAGACCTTCGGAATTCAACAGCATCAATCTGCAAATTCTTTAACCACATTTGCTGTAGCTTCTTTGCTTGCAACCGAAAGGATGTTGAAACGGGGACTGAAGAGGAAGAACATCCAGAACAAAAGAAGAAAACGATTGAAGAACTGGAAAAGACCTATTTCCCTCAGAAGCACCAAATGAGGAAGAGATGAAGAAGATCGAAGACCAATTGCCCAAGCTCAGAGAGAGAGAGAGAGAGAAAAAAGCAATGATTGTTGCAGGAGTTGAACTCCAGAGAGTACCTTCAAGAAGCTGAGAGAAGCATGTGAATTTTGTTGAAGATTGGAAAAACAGGAAGAAAGTCTCAAGGAAAGCATAGCAGCAAGCAAAATGAAAGAGTTGGTGGAGATTTTCAAGGGTCTGGAAGTGGAGTTTAAAAGAAAGCCGAAAGGAGAGAAAAGACCTGAACCACCGAGTGAAGAAGAGAGAAAGAAGCATGAGCTTACGCACCTGCCAAAAGGCAGATTGGTGTGAAAGTTGTCAAGCAACAAGATCGAGAGAAGATTTTTTTGAAGTGTCTGAGAAAACGAATGAGGCATCATGGGTTACAACGGATTTTGGACTTTGGTGTGCTCGACCGTGACGGAACCAAGCGCAGGGGCTGCCCGTTGTCTGACGAGACTAGAACGGCTGCCGGAGCTTGGTCTTGGCTCCACCTGTTGCTTTGGGCAGCTCAGAGCGACGGCTCTTTGTTGCTTCTGATCGGTCGCTGAGGCTCCGTACTTGGGCTGAACGGCCAACACCGGCAAAGCCTGTGCGCCGCAGCCCTTGTAGAGCTTCGCCTTTGGTCTCACCGCTTTGTAGTTTTTGTTGCTTGTTTGTAGTCTGTTTGTTTATAGGGACCGAGTGCTACAGCCGTAGACGACGAAGCCCATTCACGCCAAAAAAAAAAGACCAAGCAACGAAGTTTGTTTATGTGATACAGTTCCTTTTTCTTTCTTTTGTCAAGTCCTGCAGACTTTCTTTCCATGATTGTTACTGAGTTCTCCTTTGCTTCTCCAATGTTCACCTCTTCGCTTCCTTTCCACGGTTCTCCGCATTCGAAGAATTCCAGTTCATCCCACAAAATGTTGTCATCTTGATGTGAACAGAGTTGTTCTGTAAGCAAATGTTGCAACTTCCTTTGATGTTGTATCTGACCGTCTTGTCCAGTCAAACCTTGCAGGCTTTCCATCTGACATAAAAAACATCCTTCATGATGCTTCATCGCTTCCAGATCATCTTGAATTTGCTTCCTTCTTCTGCTCCTTTCACTTGAGCTCTGTAGATCTTCAACTCAGTCACCGTTGAGTTCCTTAAAAACCTGACTAGCGCTCTTGCCATTTCTTTCTCCAGGTAAGCGTTCCACTCCATGGGGTCGAGTCCCCATCCAACTTTCCAAAGCTTGCCTACAGCAAACAATGCCTGCGTAACATCTCCAAACACTGCTGAGTCTCTCACCACGTGCTCTGGTGGTTCTAGTTCAGTGGTGATTGAAACAGCATGGTGTTTTCAAGCCAACTGGTGTTCTTTGTTGTGGGTTTTTGCGAGGCAGCTTGGTGTGGATGCTCCAAGCAGTGTTGGATGAGCTGTATGGAATCCAGAAACCGCAGCTGGCATGTTGTGGCAATTGATTTTGGGTGTGTAATGCGGACTGTTGCGCTGGTGCGGACCTTGTTGCAACGCTTAAAAAACGATCAGACAGCCAAGCAAAAATCTACGTCCTAAGTGGTGCTGGAAGACAACTCTGCAGACTCCAGCAAATGTCAAGCAGATGTGTGCAGCTCTGCAGAAGATGGAGAGACAACATGCTGGCCACGCACTGAGCTCTATGGGTCCCCCTTTTGACAAAAGGGGGGCTTTAAAGGGGACTTTAAAGGAGCTTTAAGGGGGTGAACAAAGGGGGGCTTTGACAAAGGGGGGCTTTGAAGGGGGCTTAAAGGGGCTTTAAGGGGAGCTTTGAAAGGGGGGCTTCAAGGAGCTTTGAAGGAGCTTCGAAGGGGGGCTTTAAGGGGCTTTGAAGGGGGTTTTAAAGGGGGCTTTAAAGGGGGCTTGAAGGGGGGGCTTTGAAGGGGGCTTGAAGGGGGCTTGAAGGGGGGGATGAAGGGGGGTTTCGAAGCCTTCACAGTATGGGTGCTACATTGCATTTTCTTGGCAAAACGCCCAAAAAGCGATTTCGTGTGTCTTCTTCTTCTTTTGTGTTTGTGTTCATTTGTTCTGTTTCATTAAGTCTGCTTTTCTCATTTTATTTTCTTTGCAAAAACACCCCATCAAACGATTTCGTGTGGCT